TGGGGATGCAGACGGTGGTTAGACAAAAAAAAAAAAAGGACCTGACACACAACCACACGGCATTGGTAGCAGAGAGCAGTCTGGGACCAGTGTCCAGTGATGGTGACTGTGGGAATCAGGAAATGCGGAGCTGGCTCCAGGCCTCTGCTGGAAAGACTGTAGGAGCTAGCGTTCCCGTCAACCCCAGGCTTGCTTGTCTTCTCCCACCAAGGACCCCTTCCTCCCACGAAACTGCCAAAAAGGAACACAATACTTCCTTATAACACTTAATACACACCTATGGTGTATGAAAGACTGCTGACTGTGCAGACAGTAAGCAATTTAGGCCAAGCCTAGCCCACCCCGAGTAGAGACTTAAATAAATGATCTACATTTTTCCTAATCACAGAGAAGGCTAATAACTTATCTAGAATCACATGGCTACTATAGGAGGCGATCTGAACCCAAGCCTGTTTATTCCCAAGCCAGCATGCTCTTCTCTAATGCCCATCAAGCTTACACACACACACACACACACACACACACACACACACACACACACACACACACGGGCCCTGGAGGGACAGTGATTAAAGCACTTGACTCTCAAACAAACAGAACCCTCAAACTCCTTGCCATCGAACTGACGCAGACTGATAGCACCCCTGGAGGACGGGGTAGAACTGCCCCTCTAAGTTTCCAAGACTAACTCTTCAAGCCACTAGAAAGTCCCATCTCTCTCCCACGGGACTGGCTGGTGGTTTTGATCTGTGGACGACGCAGATCGTAGTTCAACATATAACCATGACTGTTGACTGTGAGGTCAGCAGTTGGTACCCACCAGCAACTCCCAGGGAGAAAGCTGTGACCATCTTTTTGTTGTTGTTTGACAGTGCCGCCTGGGTTTATTTGTACCAACAGCACCCAAGGACACCAGTGCCATGCAGACGGTGGCACAGGGCTCACACCAGTTGCTCTTACCCTCTCGTGGAGAACTCTACTTTGTGGGAGCCTGGGCACCTTTGGGGGCTTTTACTGGGGCTTGGCTGAAGCATCAGTCTTGCTTTGTGCCTTGGCCTTGGGCAAGCAGAGCCTCAGACTCTTGGCAATACATGCCCAAGCCCATTTGCCAAGCTTGGGATGGGCGATGTAGGCCAGTTGGCTGAGCTTGCAGTCGATGCCCATTGGGATCTTGACCTTGACCTCCATGGGCTTCACAAGATCCTAGATCCCCACGGCGCAAGAAGCTGCGGCCTTGGCATTGTTGGCCTGCATTTTCTTCAGGCCCTTCCTGTTGTGCTTCTTAGCAAAGCGCATGATCCTCAGGAACTTGGGATCCACCCCCTTAAGAGTGGTACTGCTGTGATCTGTGCCATTTTCCTGGGTTGGTTAGGCGTGGTGTGGTTCTTGGACTTGGCCATGGTTGTGACCATCTTCTTCCACAAGATTTCAGCCTTAGAAACCCTATAGGGCAGGTCTCCTGTCTTATTGGGTCATTCATTGTAAGTTAGAATTAACTCCATGGCAACAGATTTGGTAAAACACACACACACACACACACACACACACACACACACTTTTTATTGCATCTGACACTGGATCATATACTGAATCTGATCCTGGATGATAGAGGTATGGGATCTTTTTTTTTTTTTAAATAATTTTATTGGGGGCTTGGACAAATCTTATCACAATCCATACGTCCATTAATTGTGCCAAGCACATTTGTACATTTGTTGCCATCATCATTCTCAAAGCATTTTCTTTCTACTTGAGTATCTAATTTTTCCCCTCCCTCTCCCACTCTTCCTTATAGGGGTCTTAATGACCAAGTACAGCACTGGAATTCCCTACGTAACACATGAACAGGTATCTGAGCCCGGCATTTCTATCAATGCTAAAATCAGCCATGGCTGATTCCCAACTTAAAATCTACACCTTGATTCTCCCTGACCCCCAGGAGCACGCATCATTCCGTCTCAGTGCTGGTTACCTTGCTATGACTGCTTATTAGTAGTAGAAACCAAAACCCAAACGCATTACCAGTGAGTCAATTCAACGCACAGCGACTAAAGGGTAGAGAAGATCTGCCCGTGTGAGTTTCCAAGACTGTAACTCTTCAAGGGAGCAGAAAACCTCATCTTTCTCCTCTGGAGTGGCTTCTGGTTTCAAACTGCTGACCTTGCAGAGTTAGTAGCCCAACTCCCAACCCACAACACCACCAGGGCCCTCATGCGCGGAATGATCACTTGGTGCCTAAGACACTGGGAGAAATGCCCAGGGAACCACATGTGGTCAACAGAGTAGGTGTCCCACCTCTGAATAAAAGCAGCCTGGCCTGGTCCTGCTCCGTACACATCTTTCAACCCTCCACCAGAGTGAGGAGGGTCACATGCGGGAAACCCTGCCTTTGTGAATGGGCTCAATTTTGGGTGACCTTATGCAAGTTCTGGTGCTCTCTGGAACTAAGTCCTCTCCCCTGAAAGGCTGTGACGATCCGGGTTGCGTGCTGTGGGCACACAGCAATCCACTCAGCTCAGCAGCATCTCCACACCTTCCTGTGCACACAACCACGCCAACTCGACCAGACTAAGTCTCGGGCCCCAATCCAGCCACACTGCTTTACAGCTGTGTAGTTTTTGGCAAGCAATCCAGCTTCTCTGGACCCGTTTCTCACATCCCGAGTTGGAATACAGCTGGCCCTCCCTATCCTTGGGTTCCCCATCCCCAGATTCAACCAGCCTTCAACCAATCATGGCGGCAATACAATGTTATTTATATAACATGTACATGATATTAGGCCTTAAATGTAATCAAGAGCTGGTTGAATTATGTGAGAGGATGCACACACGTTATGTGCCAACACTGTGTGGCCTGTTACATAGAGGACTTGAACACCCACAGATTTTAGTCTGGGGAGAGCAGGTATCCTGAATCCAAACCCCTACAGATGCTAAGCAATGACTCAAAGGGTTGCTTGGTGGCATCATTGCAGGCAGACTTGGGTGTTGCTAGATTGCCTACAATGTAAAAGGAACTGAGACCATTTCAGTTGGGTTTGCAGGTACACAGAACAACTCTGACATAGGGCGTGCTTCAAAAAGTTCCTTGAAAAAGTGGGATTAGAGGGCAGCAAATTTTTTCCATGAACTTTTTGAAGCCCCCTAAGATACATATCCTGTTGAACATATATTGATATAAATATATAGATGACCATGACAAATAAAAGGGATATGGGAAGCAGGGTTGTGAGAGAAGTAAAATTTAAGAGACAATTTTTTAAACCCTCTTTCCTGTCAACCAATAATTTCAATTGCTTGTGATGATTAAAAAGCTGGCTTACTTTAAATGAATTCTGCCTCGTTTCTCTTGCCTTCCACATCTTCTGATCAAGACAGAACAAGTAACCGCTACAAGGCGGGCGACCAGAATTACTGTCCCGTACCATTTGGGTCAATGGGGCCATCTCCAGTGTGGCCAGAAGGTTCTCTGTTGTCAATGCTCTTCCAGCTTAGTTTAGAAACCAGCCAAACACCCCAAGGCATTTTTTCTCAGAATCCAACACAGAATTGGTTTAATGAGCACCTAGTGAGCAACAGAAATAGAAGGCGATCTGCTCCCACAGAGACGTACAGCCTCGGAAACCCTACAGAGCGTGTGCTCTGAGTTGGATTCAACATGATGGCGGCGGACTGGGTTTGGGTTTAGTGAGTTCAAACTTAGTGTTAAGACTCTATCACGCAGCATGTTCCATGGGAGATGCTCTTCCTAAAACAACACAGCAAAGACCACTTGACAGATGAGAAAAGGACACGACTGGACTTCCCCTCCCCCTCCTTCAGCTGCTCACAGGTCCTCAAGGACTCAGGTCTGCACGATGTGTGAAGACTTCTGCCGGAGTCTCCAAGTCTAATCAGAGCTGGATTTGGCAAAACCTCACGATGCACAATCCTTAGCCCCTTAGCAAACAGGGCATGGAAGGAGGGTGAAACTGGGATCCAACCAAACCAAACACACTGCCATCAAGTGGATTCCCACTCAGAGAGACCCTGGGTCTAGGACGTGAGAGAGCAGCCCTGTGCTTTTCCAAGGCTGGAAATCTTGGCGGCGTAAAATGCCACATCTTTCTCCCCAGGAGCAGGCGGTGGTTTCAAACGGCTGACCTTGCGGTTAGCAGCCCAATCCATAACCATGATGCCATGAGTGTCTGCCTTTCGGAGCTGGGACAGGGCAACAGGAAAGGGGCCTTAACCTTGACAGCAAAGCTGAGCTACCCCTGACTTGTAAACCCAGGTCAGAGGCAGTAGAAAGAGTTCATTTCCTTTCTGCACAGATTCTCCCAAAGAAAACCAGACACCTGGTCACCCAGGGAGGGGTGGGGGGGACCTCTTCCTCTGAGATTCTCACTGAACTCTGAACCCTTCTTCTCCCACCCTGCCCCAAGGAATGGCTGGCTGGTTGTTGTTTCTGCGTCGTGTTTTTTTTTTCCCCTGTGGTCCTCCGGTAGCTCCACAAATTACGTTTCCAGAGTCTGGAGTCCCAGAGAGCACCGCTGTTGTAATAAACATAACCAAGACCAAATGCCTACCTATCCTATTAGATGATGCCATTTCCCACCAATCAGACTCCTCGAGCAGGCAGCCCGCTCACCAATGAGGCCCGAGACAGAGGCTGTGAGGGGGAGACCCGGTCATGGGCAACTAAAAATAAGGGCGCTTCATGATTGGCCCTGCCACTTTGCAACAGGAGTTGGGACCCACACACCAGGAGCTATACAGAAGGGCACAAGTACAGGCAGGCACACACTTTCCCAGCCCAGGGGTGGGGTGGGCTGGGCTTGTCTTTGGATTTTTTGTTGCCCCCCCCCTCTTAATTTGATAACTTTACAAAGAAATAAGGATCCGGATCAAGGGGGGCGTGGGGGGCGTGGGCTCCAAGGCACACTCTCTCTTTCAGTTTCCGAAGGTCCTCCAAAGCTCCCCCACATTGCCAGCAGGCCCCAGGCCCAGGCACTCACTCACCTGTCCGGCCGTGTCATAGAGTCCCAGAAGGTACTGCTTGCCCCCCACGGTGACGCTGACTGCAAGGACAGAAACGGGGGTGGGGAGAAACTCACAATGACCAGGCCTGTGGGGCGAAGTCTGGCCCACAGAGACCCTCCCAGCCCATCCCGGGTGGCGGTGTTGGGGCGCCTCCCCAGAGAAGTCACTCTTGTTCCCTAGCTCCAGGCTCACAGCCAAGTAGTGTGTGATGAGGGTGCTGTGCTCACCCCCTTCTCCGGGTCCCCACGAGTGCCACCCCCGACCCCCACCCCCCAGGGGCTTGGTGCAGAGGGGAAGTGGCTGTGAGAAGGTCAAGGCGGTCGGCCGGCAGGGCAATGGCTCCAGGAGCCAAAATGTTTGGGAAGAGCGGGAAGCAGTGACCAAGGGAAGTAGGAAGAGGGGGTCCGGACGCAAGTGAGCGAGGTGGCCGCCAGCAGAGCCTCGGGGGTGGAGCTGGAGCGTGGCGCAGGGCCCGCGGGGGAGCGGGTAGAGAGCGCGCTTCGGGGGAGGCAGGGAGGGGGCGCCGCCAAAGTTGCTCCAAAGTTCCCAGCCCGGAGCAGCCCCTTAGTCAGCAGTTCCGGGCTTACCTGCGTAGTGGTCGAAGACGGTGGGCACATACTCCTCCGGGAAGGCGTCGTTGGCATAGCTCATGAGCAGGCACGTCTTGCCCACCGCCCCGTCGCCCACCACCACGCACTTGAGCATCAGCGCGCCGGGCCCGTGAGCCATGCTGCGGCCGGCCGGCCTCCGGGCATGGTCCC